CAGCCATTTGCGCAAATGGCTGTATTACCGATGCTCTGGTCCTCAATTAGAGGAGTACATCACTGAATTGATTCGACCCCTTGGGCCTCATGAACAAGATCATGCTCATGTTCCTTTCTCGGGGGTCAGCTTCGTCCGTGGATTCTGTGCATGCTTAGCTTAGGCTGTCACCACAGCCCGTTGTTCCCTCAGACATGAAACTCAGAACGAATCTAGAATTTCGCTCTCTGCTATGCACCAAGTCGAGGAGACAGTGTCGGGAACAGCTCCTGTACTTCTTGCGTCGTCTCAGCAACTTCGAGTCCATGAATTAGTCGAGGCTTCTGATCTGTGGAGTCAGAGCCCGTCAGGAATTGAATTAATCATGTATCAACAATCATGGCGCCGGTGAGCCAGAATCTTCACTTGAACTGGAAAAAGGGATGTAGGTCTCAGTCTCCACAGAAGTGGGTCTGTAGCCCTCCATGGATTCACAGCTTCCCTCCCATCTGTAGTCCTCGAGTGACATCCACACATTCTCGATCTCTGCAGTTTTTTCTGCAATTGTATCGGCCAAGACCCGAGCAGACTTCCATGCCTGAGACAGATGACCCGGTTGTGAAGTTTCAGTCGACCTACACTTTGCAAAGCTTGACACAACGATGGTCAACCCGACATGTGTCACACCCTTGAAACACATGGACTGTAACGATGAGAACCAAGTCTCTGATTGTCGCAGATATTCTTGCTTTTGCCACAGCTGCCGAATCTTGTAGCGCCGAATCTTCAGGAGGAACGTGACACATTTTACAGTGAATCGCTTTGGCCGCCCCATGGCAGTCAGGTTAGACTGACACACACTCACACAAACGAGACACAAGGCACCAGCTCTATCCTTGAACAAAAAACTGCTGAAGAGTGCTGCCAGAGAGTTTCCATTGACACATTCACACATCCAGTCACAAACACACAGACAAGTTGTGCACCCGGACATTGCAGTCGAGAATCCCCATATGCCATGCCTCGTTGATTTTCTCGAACTCGACACCGGAGCCGAGGAGGCGTTTCAAGGTTGGCACGAGCCACTGCCACATGCACGACATCTCCATCAGCTCCCTCAACATGTCGTTCGGCATTTGCGTGTGTTTCTGCAGGGGTCATGACAGCAAGAAGCAATTCCTAGATTCTTGCTTTACATTAAGAATAAGACTTAAAATGAGGGATTCAGGGGTTTAATGTTTTAAGGTTCAAGGGTCGTAATATGACGGTGTTATCGAGGTTTGGAGCCTTTGGCTTCACTGGTCTAGATCAAACATTCATGAATCATGCACACGCAGCACTGCAACGACATGCCTACAAAAAGCAAAGAACGAGATGAATAAAGATCACACACCTAGAATTGAAAAATGCACACATTTACTTCTGACGACATGTCTGTACCCCTTGCACCTGCGTCTTCACTGAAGAACCAGGCGGAGCTTTGGATCTGTGGGCAGCCACGACGCGGGTCACCCACGTTATGGTGCATTCATTCGTCACTTCCTCCCATGAAAACATAGGCCATGGATCGTTGCCACAACATGTTTCGTCATGCACACACGCCACAAAGACAATGAGCCGGAGTTATTTCGGTAGCTAAGCGTCCAAGATTTCAGGCCACCTGCCCGCATGCCCCTTGCCGAGGTTCGTGCCGGGGACATAGAAATCACCGGACAGATTGTCCAAAGTCAGAGCTGAGCAACACAAGGTCATGGAAGACACATGCAGAGAGAGAGAGCGAGAGAGAGAGAGCGAGATACAGAGAGCCAATGCCAAGTCTAAGTGAGAGCGTCCGACAGAGCAAAGCAATGCCTGCATTGTAGTGACGGTACTCACCATACACCTTGGCCAGGATGTCCCGCATCTCGGACGGACACCGAAGAACATTGTAGATGATCTTCTGAACCTCTTGTTTTACTTTGTGATCCTTAGTTGGGCAAAAACAGTCTGCAGGACATGGCCTAGCGTGGAACTAGAGAGTCAGAGACACAAACACACACACACACACATATATATATATATATATATGCTTGTTGGAAATTCAAAGGCACTTTGCCCACAGCCTTGTTGTAGTCGGACACACAAGCACTCAGAAGATCTCGAAGAGACTTCTGTCCAACCACTGCCCGACGGAGGCGCACAGCTTCTGCAAAGACACTCGCAAGATCGAGCGCCGAAGCGCTCTGCTTCTCAGAAGTTCTCTGACAAAGGGCCAAAGATTCAAAGAGATACAGCTCCGGGCGAGGGTGGAACGTGAAATTTCCTTTCATGTACTTGTACGTTGCTAGGCAGGCAGCAAAGTCTTTGTCGTCGGTGATTTCTTCTGCCGTGACACCCTCAGCTCACAGGTCCAGAGCTCCAAGTTAATGCCATCATACACCACAGGACTGAGCAGCCCAATCAACTCGTCCTAGCACTAGGCACACTCACAAAACATAACATCAGACATGCTGCCATGAAGTGCATCAGCCCGAAAATAGCCTGCACGCAGAGGCTCTTCGTGAAGCCATCAACCAGCTTCACCGAAAATATCGCCACACAGGGCTGTCCTCGATGAGTTAGCACCATGAAATCTTCACACAGCGCGTGCATGTCAACCCATGCAAACAGTCCTGGATCCACATCAGTGGGAAATCGGACTTCAAGTGGCTCCCGGAAGGCCTGGAATCCCACATTCGGAATCGACGTGAAGTGGATTCGCAAAGTGCATAGATCGGGGAATTTCCCATGCTCGCCTCGGATTGCAATGAACCTTTAGACTTTAGAATTTGTAAGCAAGCAAGCCCTAGGTTGCCATGACACACGACGCCCCCTCCAGTATCTGGCTTCCGCGGCTTACACTGAATGGCAAGGATCCATACTTGCAGCTCCTGGAGTAGTCGATCTGCCACGGATTCACCCAGAAGTCGTGGAGTGTGCTCGAGGGCACATAATTGATGGCTTTGTGGGGCTCGACATGCACAGCCACTGCCGGGATGGAAAGGGCAGTCAGCATCACCTGCCACAGTGCGCACACACACACATGGCACGTTACTCCCCGAAGGTACACACTGGACTCTGAAACCTGTCTGCGCACGAAACAAAACTAAGCCTTGCAGAAGTTCGTGTGACCCTCGTGGGTGTGCGGGAACATCTCCATCAATACGTCACCGATGTGCTTCCCATCGGAACAGACCTGTAGGGATCCAAATTACTCGACTAGCAGACTCTGTAACATCAGACCAGGCACATGAATGTACACCCTCCCCCCGCCTGATGGAAAGCCATCTCGATCCGCCCCTTCAGGCTGGTGGGCACTTTGCTCATACGAGCAACTCCCACACCATCTTTCCCCGGAGATTCGGGCTCCTCCTTGGCCAGCTCCTCCTGCACTTCTTCCTTTGCCACCGGAGTGGCCGTCATGGCACACCACTGAGGATGCTCAAAGGTCCAAAGACCCTTGCCGAGGCAAACCGTCTGCGAAGGGCAGCAGACACGAAACATGCATCCTGACTCCTAGAAAACTTGCCTTCCACAGACAAGCCTTTGCAAGGAAACGCCCCTCCACAGGCACTCATCACCCTTCCACAGACAACCCTTTGCAAGGAAACTCCCTTCCACAGGCATACATCATCCTTCCACAGACGTCTGTAAAGAAACACCCTTCCACAGATTCCCCTTGTGATCTTCCACAAGCGACGATCTTCCACAGGTGACTCAGACTCGAATTTCACACCGAAATCTGTAACGAACTAACTTCGACTTGGAGTGGTGGTTTGTAAACGACCACTATTACAATTCCAACTTTAGGCTTAGGCCCCCACAGACAATTTTACAAGATGCGGCATTCAAACCTGTTCACTGATCCAGTTGCCGTGGTCCGGTCATTTCTAGAGCCGGTGAAACTGCACTCTCAAGTTGTGAGTATCGTTCGCAAGAGGATCCGGCAGCATCATTCGGGCTGGGGCGGCACGCTGGATCTGATTCGGAGACAACCACGAAAGCATCGGCAGCCTCTCCCGTGGCATTGCAGATTGACCTGACAGCTGGCGAAGGTACTGCACACCACGATCGTACTGCCCTGGAAAGGACTTCTCCAACCATTCGGCCAAGTCAATGTAGTCCTTGGCCTTTCCTTCCTCCAGAGTCCGCGTCATGCCTAAAACATGCAGAAAGGCAGAAGCTCAA